GGGCCCCCAGGAGGGGGGTGGGGGAGCGCCCGGAGCCGTGGGTGCCGAGGACGCCGAGCATGCCCGCCGACTGCCTCTCCTTCAAGGCACTGATCTCACCTAACCCGCCGGCAAGGCCTGCCTGGCAGCGTGCTGTGGAACCACCGTGCCCCTTCACGTCTGAAGTTCCAAAGCCCGGGCAGATACTACACCCTGTCAGATACTACTCCCTCTCAGCCTAAGATAGGCAGCCCTCTGTCAGACACCTCCAAACACAGATTTCTTAGTACTACAGGCAGTAACAATCTTATTTTTAGTGGTGTGGGGCACCGACAGATCCTGCTGATTTCAAATCAAGTAAAAAAAACCCCATTATTTCCAAAGGTCACACTCTAATTCTGCCAAACATTCAAGCACTCGTAAGGGTCACTGCATACGAATTCGGTTGGTGGTGCCTCACCATCAGCAGGGAAACAGCAAGCAGGTTTTATACGAGTCAAGAGACACTACAGAAAACCAAGGAAGTTCATGGTCACCAAAACTGCTCTCGTTTCACTGAAAAGTCCGACAGCATTGAATCACTTCATAGATAGACAGAACCAGGACGCTTACTCCTAAGTGTAAGATTACCAATATCAAGAACCAGAAGTTTGAGCTCGGCAGTGTCCTTATGCAACCAGAGGATTTGGCAGCAAATTCTGCTGCAGGGTCAAGGCTCGTGGGGTTTTCCTGTAGCACCACTTTAAATGCTATAGGTGTCTGTATAGTAGGTAGGTTTCATTTGTACTTGTATGTAGTCTGCAGACAGCACCATGCTTAGATGTCTTAAAACCCTTTCTCATCCGATTCTGATACAGGCTGAAGAAACAAAATTCTCATATCTGGTTCTTCAGATGTAACCATGATTACCCACAGCTAGCTAACATTTTTACAGTTTTCAGAATTTAAACCAAACATAGTCTCCCTTCTTCTTCAGACAGTAAAAAATAATGGCAGGCACATAAAGACCACAAACACAGCCGGAGAACATCAGACCAGTACAAATGTCAGTGTTTTCCTTTCAGTCATATGAAGCTGGCAAAACCACCTCAGGATGCGATACAACCTTTGTGAGCTACTCCAAGTAGGAAAACTGCTGTGCTAGCACTTTCCCCTCTTCCACGTTAATTACCGTTCTCTGTGGAATGAACTTCTGGAGAAAGGAGGGGCATGTCACGTCTCATGTCCGTGAGGCACCTTGACAAAACCCGAACTCCCTTGCCCGCTGTCAGCGCCGAGCCAGCACTTTCCAGCGATGGGGCAAGAGGGAGATGGGGACAGCAGAGTGCCTGCTGGTGCCATGCACACACACCCCCGCCTCCCCCCCGCAGCTCTGAGAGCACCAGGGAGGGGATGGGGAGGAAAAACGGTGCAAATGCTCCACTACAGAGGCTCCCACAACAGCTGGATGTTTAATCGGAAAGGCCCAAAGTGAAACAGTTACAAATACGATGTCCAAGGTCAAATTTTTGGCATTCTGAGCAGTACTATGCACATAAATATATATGCATATGCACTAGGCACAGTTGTACGTGCAAATGCATAGGCATTCAAATAACCCTATGTACATTCTGTTATGGCATTTTTATGCAGTTACAATATGCGTATAACTAAGTATAGCAATGAAGAAAAATAATAAATCACATGAAATGGGAACAGCTCACAATATTCAAAAGTATTGCTTTATTTGAAATGTTTGCTTACTGAGAAAAATAACCTTTAAAGTATGATTGCAAATTTCACAACCAGATAGAGTATATAAATTCTTTATTATAACACCAAACTCTACAGTAACATAACTTCAAAAAAGAAGTAAATACGTATTTAGATTTGTGTTTCAACCAAAGAGAAAAAGCTGTAAAAGTTCACTGCAAACCATCCTCTGCTGGAATAGCCAACACAGAGTACGTTCTTATGTATACACAAGGAACTTAAAAAACAATGAAGGAAATCATATAAAAAAGAGAAAATGATGTTTTGGAGGCCAAGAAGCAGAAGTATAAATCAAGGATTACCAAAAATCAAGGTACTGTTGACCCTGGAAGGATTATTAACAACACCAAAAAGGAAATGAAAATCGGAGTTATAAAGAAATGACATTGGGACAGTGATTAAAAATATTCTAGATATCAGTGAAGAAATAATCAGTTTTCAACAAGCAGGATGATGCTGAAAAAGAGGAAAAGGCAAATAATGGGAATTATCTATATCATACAGATAAAGAAATAACAACTGAGTGGAAAGAAAACTCCAGGAGCTTAGCACATTCAGTAGAAAATAGATACTCTCCAATGAAAAAACACTGCAAGAATCAGCATGTGAATTTAGGTCTGATAGCTAGTATTTGTCATACATCTATGGAATTTAAGATGATGCAACATAACTGAGAAGCAGCAAACACAGTTGTCAAAGGGAAGAGAAAAAAATGTGAATTGGTGAGTTGAGGCCTGTAATCTGATTTCAGCATTATGCAGGGCTTTGGAAGAAATTTTGCAGGGAAGAATAACTAAAGACTTGGAAAATGGGATAAAACGAAACACGGATGTCATGCCAGACATATCTCACACCGTCCGTTGAATTTTTTAGAAATCTGAAATAAATTGGACCTCATCTATTTGGATCTCTGTAAAGCTTTTAACACTGCTAAAAGGGAACTGACTGAAGAAAACAAGGATAAGCTCAGAAGCTGTAAGACAAAAGGGGAAACAGCTACTGAAAAGAAAACACTCCCTGGATATATTAGTACCTCACAAGGTTACTGACCCACAAGGTGATCAAACCAGGACAAGGGTGTACAGGACACCACCCCATACACCCAGCAAAACCAGGGATACATTGGTGTTTTGGTACAAGCCACTGGCAAGCTTTAATCTGGAATATCACGTACAGTACAGGTCACTCATGAACTCAAACTGCAAGAGACGGCCTGTATGCTGGTGAGGAGAATAGAGTGCCCATCTGAGAGGCCACTAGGAAACATTAGCTCCATGAATCGAGCAAACATGAAGACTGACTGCTGCCTATGTGTGTAAGTGAATGGGAAGCAGGGAAATGAGAGAATGGAGCATGAGGAAAGAGAAGAGCTTCTCAAACTGACAACACTGGCATAAGAACAAACGTGCAGCCATGCAGACATTTTGGCTGGAAATTTTGAAGTTTATAACCATCAGTAAAATGAGATTCTGGAAGAGCCTTCAACTCAAAGAGGCAAGGTTAAAAAAAAAAATCTTTGCTTATAGGATTCAGACTCAAATATTTACAAAAGGGATATGAAGGAGTGCCTGGGATGCACTCCCTGACCTACGAAATCTCTTCAAGTCGTATGGGC